AAGTCTACTGCTTTGATTGTGTTTTCCATAACTTTGTACGACACGCACATAATCCCACGTGAACCTGCAGCCCCATATGCTAAATAAACCATCTCCGAAGAACTATTTTGAGCCTAAATCCAAAAAGGAAAGATTGCTGTGCCGTGTTAAACACTCAAAGCTGAGAAAGTGTAGAATTAAAGTTTAAAACTGCATCTCAGCCTCTTAAATAAGCTCCTAAGTGGCCGCGGCCAGTGAGGCAGACGTGTGGCCACATTTAGAATCCTCACAACAGGTGGAGCAGACGGGTGATGGGTTTGTGATCTGGATTGCATTTTCCAGGTGCCGTTGTTGCTCTGGGGGGAGAACCTGGATTATCCGAGTGTCCCTCTTTAGCCTTTGTGTGGGGATTAGGAGCGCCGCAGCAAAACACATCTGCACACGGAGCGTCCGCCGTTGAGGCTGAAGCTGGTGGTGACGTCATCAAACCATCGTGTTTTCTGGGAGAATAAACAACTACGTTGTGTCAAATATTGCATAAAACAATACAATAATCAAATATAATGCAAAACTATAATTGGTATTTACACAAAGTGGAGACATCTAGCTGACCAGCTATTTGCTGAATGACATAACATTGTTTCTACTAAGCCTCCTTTTGAAATGATCTGATTGGAGTAAAACCGAACAGTAAAATGTGAATCAATTTTCTGTATTTCTGCATCTAATCTGCAACCAAAAGCTTTAGTGTAAACCAGGGACCCTGGAGGCATGTGAGATGGAGAGAAACACGCTATGTGAAAGCTAATCCATAATCTGACTGGGTGGGGGGGGCTTCTCCACTCAGCCGACTGACCATGAGGACGGTATGGAGCGGGACGAGGGCCAGAGGGTGATTACTCCATGTGTGGTGTTGTTTTTTTCTCTATATGTAGTTCTTGTGTTGGAGGGGCCAGTATTCCAATGGTGCCGACGCAGATGGGAGCGTCTCTCTGCCTGAATCATGTTCAGCCGCAGACGAAATCAGTTTGGTTTTGTTCACTGATCAACAATTGTTACGTTTTTACAGTCGCACGCTTGCGAGGCCCAGTGCCAGCCGCTGCCTCATGTCATACATGTCGTCATGGAAACAAACCCTTCATTTGCTTAGCCTTTTTCACAGGATAGTCACACTTTAAGAGAAGTCCAGAAAAGTCACCAAAATATACACATTTAGCATGTCAACAGTTTCATGTGATGTTGTGGCGAGGTTAGCGTCTGAACATGTTAATATTTTTCTTGTGCCTGTTCGTGTGGCCGTGTTGTTACTGTTGACGTCCAGGTGCAGCTGAAGAGGAGAGATGTCTTCTTGGCACTTTCAGCAGGCTTTGGGGTCATTTTTTTATGGATTTATACGTAACATTAATAACCTGTTTCCCTATTAAGGTATCCTACTGACAAGCTACTCCTTTAGGGGAGTTTGCCACAGATTTATTTTTTACTCGTAAATCTCTTAAACCTCCGAACTGCTGCTTTTTTTCGACGGGTTTCCTGATCAGAAAAGAAACTCGCTGACAGACCAACTCTCTGCCAAAGAGGCTCCATAAACTGACCCATTTGCATTCCTGCTGACTCTCCTTCTGAGAATATCTGCCAGAGAGGAAGAAGGGGTCGAGTGTTTTCACACAAGGTTGTGGGCTCAAACCAGTGACCTTTTTAGTTACAAGACTCTCTCCAGACTGCTGACTTTAGACGCCTCTATATTTAGTCTATGTTTCATATTCTTTGAGATCCTCCTTTCCTCTCATATTCAAACAATGTGAAACGAGTCTGACGGCGGAGGCAAACAGGATTGACGCGTGTCTGTTGAGGTTTAATCAGGAAGGAGAAACAATGGGATGAAGTCTGGCTGTGAAGTCAAATTCCTCTTCCATCAGCTCATAAAGACACATTATAACACTTCATTCATTTTTCACTGTGCATATAAATACATTCTTTGGATTGATTGGTATCAAACATTGAGATTCATTTGTAAGCGAAATAATTGTTGGAATGCTGCCTCAGCATCGAACCTTTGTTGTTGGAATGCTGAGGCAACATTACAAGTATTGTTCTTCGGATCTTTATATTTGGAATGCTGCCTCAGCATCTGCATTTTTAGCAGTTCTTTGAAATGTATTTCAGCTTTTCTCACTTCAAGTATTGTTCTTCGTATCTTTATATTTGGAATGCTGCCTCAGCATCTGCATTTTTAGCAATTTCTTCAAATTTATTTCAGCTTTTAGCTTTCAGCATTCCAACGCATTTTCTGCAGGAAATTCATTTTCTAGTTGATACTTTACTCTTATTCCTCTTTCATATTTTTGTTTTCGGTAAACAGTTAAATTCTTAATTTCCCTCAGCTCCCTCTGGTCACAGCTCATTCCCTTACATTTTTCAGGTTGGCCTCCTTGGGGTCCCCTGCTGGTGTGTAAATAGAAGTTATAGATATAGATTTTTTTATATAGCCGGGACCACCCGCACAATTCACCGGCACCCGGGGTACTGAGCTCCACACCTCTTCAACGGAGGACATGAAAAGAAGCCGCTTGTGACTGCGTGTGTGTGTGTGTGTGTGTGTGTGTGTGTGTGTGTGTGTGTGTGTGTGTAAGCGAACACAGTTCTTCCTCAGAATGTTTCATAATTAACATGGCCGCCCCTCAGCCTCCCCACATCTGCACTGAATCTGCCACTACCGATGAGCTTCACACAACTCCGCCGCTCTCTGGGCCTTTTCGTCACCGACGTGGCCGTTAGCTCGGCGGCTAGTCAAGGCGAGGCCCAATTCATTTATACAGCGCATTGCACCTACAGGCTTGAATTCTACATATTGAACAGCAGGGGGCGACTCCTCTGGTTCGCCTTCTCTCTCTGTCTATTAGCTTGATTGTGAAGGTGAGTTTGTGGTATCAATCTTTTGAGGGAATATTGGACATTCATCAGGTGAACAAGAACCATCTGCAAAAAAAAGATATTGTTGATATGCAACTGTTGGATGTAAATAATAAGCACTTAAAGATTTTAAAGTTAGCATTATTGTGTTTTTATTTTATACAATTCTAAATAATTTTAAGAGTTTTTATCCTTAATTTAAAAAAATGATTGGGTTTAAAACTCTCGGCGAAAACAGAACATCCCTCCAAAACTATAACAGAGTAAAGTCGAACTAAGCAGAACAGATAAACTGAGACGTCCCAAAATGGCCATTTTGTCAGACTTGCTCATGACAACATCATTTCCACATCCGTAGAAAGCGACATTTACTCAAGTAAGATGGCGGAGGGTAAACGTGCACTGGAGAGCGTGCTTGTTGTTACTCTTGTGGAAAGTCCGTCTTGTCAAATGTTCATCTGCTAAAAAAAAAACAAATAAAAATATTTAAGAGCTAAGAATGTAATTCCAAACTCTGG